GGAGAGTGTGCGTCCGCGGGAAAGAATATTCTGCAGTCACATCCTTACCATCCATCGTTTAAGGACACTTCGAAACGTGTCACATATCATATTCTTCGTTTCTTTGTTTCTTGCTTTGTATATTTTTTGCTTCTTTTGGTTTCTATCTGTTAAAGAATTGGAGTCAATGGACTATAAAAATTTGGAATGGACCATTTGTTTCTTTCTTTATCAAGCTAGCTTCTATTTCATCGAAAGAGATAAAAACGAAGTTGATTCCAAGATTCCATCCTTGCATGTTCGGTTGGAAATCTAGTGCAATTTTGAATTGCTCCAGGCATTATTCATTGTATGAAGCTTGTGGCATAATATAACAAGGATAAGATGTGCTTACTTAACCTGATGTGAAAACTGAAAAGTTTATAATAGGCTTAGTAGCCAAGACGTATAGTTCACCTAATGGTTCTTAAAAAAAAGAAAACGTTTTGAGCCAGTTATCAAGTTATTCTCTTCACCTTATTTAATTTTGTTGAGATTCTTTTGCTAAGTGGGGTGAAGATAATTAATTTCCTTCTGCACTTAGAATTGAATATGTGAGACGATAAAAATTGTTATTACTATGTTAAGTAACTCTCGTCTCTTGTTGTTTTGCAGTTCAAAAATAAATATGTGAGATGGCAGATATTAAAGGGGTGAGAATTGGAGTTGCTTGACTGAAAAATGGATTTTGATAAAAGTAAAATTGGAAAGTGACATTGAGATTTTCCCAAAGTAATGATTTGTTCCTTGGAATACTTATTTATATGGCCTATACATGTAGTCTGTTTCAGGATTTGGAATACTTATTTTTATGGTCTATATATGTAGTGTAAGCTGCAAATCTGACTTGGTTGATACAAGGGACACTGCAAGCTGCAAATGAGGGAAAGAAGAAAGGAAAAAGAAAAAAGACCTTAGACACAATTTGTTTTGAGGGAATGGGAGGGGAGGAAAGGAAAGGAAACAACGGGATAAGATTTTTGAGGTTTGGATTGGATTGTGAGGAGGGAAAGAAAGGAATAAGGTTTACTTATTTTTTTGTTAGCCTGCTTTTCGTTTAAATGGGCAAAAACTGAGGGAAAATGACACCAAATTAATGAAAATTTAAAATTTTCAAAAAACCCTATTATGTATTTATAAATTAGACGTTTAAATTATAGATAAAACTAGTGAGACGGCCTGTGCCGTGCACAGGGAGGCTAATATTTCCTATGTTAACTATTTTTTGTTGTGTGGGTTTATTAGTATACATCTCTGTTATTATCTAATTCATGCGGATCATTAGGGAATTATTATTTTTGTTAATGGTTAACAATTATGAAATATATAGAATGCATAAGGACAATACTATATAGAATGCATGATGGTACTTATATAAAATGCATAAGGGTAAATTAGAAAATTGTATGAGGTTATTTTGCATTTGGATCTGGATAATTAAAAAGTTGTAAATTGAATCATTCCCAAAAGAGTATTAATCGGTGTTGACACAAAAAAGAAGGGATCCCGCAAGTCAATTAAGCACTTAAATCATAGAATTTGACATTACTAAAAATTAATCACCACATGTCACAGTAATAAAACCCATTTTTTAAAGTTACTAAAGCCAACAATGGGTTATTAATTATTTCCTCAATAATTGTGCATTTATAGAACACTTAACAATTTTATTTCATGTCAAACCAACAATAATTTATTAATTGTTTCCTCAATAATTATGCATTTACAGAACATTTAATAATTTTATTTCATGTCATAGTAATAAAGGCCTTTTTTAAAGTCATTAAAGCCAACAATAATTTATTCTTTCCTAGGTAATTTTGCATTTACTGAACACTTCAAAAGCAAATAATTAACCACAAAAATCAACTTCCATAGGTTTCACTCTTTACACCACTAATTACCAATTCGATCAACATGTCCGATAAATGCACTAAAACTATACCAGCTGCAAATAAACAAAACAGGTAATTGAGGAAAATAGCCCGGATATCTAATTACAATTGCACGATAATCGCTTGACAAAAAAGCAGCAACTCTCTCTTTTATATTGTTAGATATAACTAACACATGATAGTCTGTTTCCTTTCCTTCCATAATCTAAACAAGATGGATGGATTTATATTTTTTCTACTCTCTCTCCTTTCCTTTCTTTCCCTTTCATTCAATCCATTGGTGCCTTAGAATTAAACTAAGTAGGCCATGGTGTTTATATTTAAAGAAAGTATTACCCAAAATCCATTACCCGCTAAATTGGGCACTTTTACTCTGATTACCCATCAAGATAAAAAAAAATAAGTCAAAAACCAGCTAAAAGATAAGTGAAAGGATAGAAAGAACATCAGTGCTTCTTATCTCCAAGTTCTCCCATATTTACTCTACCTCTCTCACCTGCCCCTTTTGTCTCCTCCTAATGTTTCTCCTCCCTTTTTTTCTCCCTTTCCAGCCCATGTAATTTCTCCCCTTGTTCTCTCAAAGTTTTGGTGTGATTAATTTTTTTTTTTTTTACTTTAAGTGACAATTTTGAAGTTAAAATTTGTAGGATTGGTCTATAAGATGGGATCGTGGTGAACGCATGAGAGGTGGCGGTATGGGGGTAACAATAGCAAAGGGATGAAAAGGGCCACAAAAAAAAAAGAAAGAAAGACATAGGAAGAAAGAAATGGAAAGTAAATAAAAAGAGATGGGGAAATAGGTCCGCAACATGGAAAAAATCAAGGGGATGGAAGCAAACCGAAACAGAGGGCGGTGGTCGGAGCTGAGCTGGAAACCAGCGGTGAAATGGGCTGGAGATAAAGAGAAAGGAAGAAAAGAAAAATAATTTTCTTTTTTTCCTATTAAAAAAAGTCACTGCCATTATGGTGACTGCCAAACATAAAATTTCATCAAAAGAATCTTCACAAATCCATTATCATTGAGGTGGTCTTTCATAATTATTGTCATTGCTATTCCTTGATAGCAACTAAACAGGTGGTATGTTCGATTATAGAGCTACATATCCTTATGTTAGCGTAAACATTTTGTGTGGCAGTCAATTTACCTAATACACTTTTGGATGAGTAAAAAAAATGGAGAGTTTTGTGTTATGAATTTAGAAGATATATACATTTGTAAATTTTTCTTGAAAGAGCTTATATCATCAAGAAAATGAGATAAAAATTGGTAGATAGGATTGAATTATTTCAAACTCCATGAAGTTGAAAAATATAAGGTGTGTTTAGATAGGAGATTAATTGGAATAATATATACTTTTTGTGATATAATGAACGTGACATAAAAAAATAATTGAAAATATAAAATTTTAGTTAAAAAATGAGTTCATGATAGAAGTCAACTAGTATTTAAAAAAATTTGTATCCAAAAAAATTTTAGGTTAATTGAAATAAGAGTGAAAGACGAATCAAACTATTTGATACTTGAATTGAATTTAGCTCAGTGAGCACTTGTTCTTGCTTAGTTTGTCGACTAATCAAACTAAATTTAAACAGCATTTTGCATTTGATCAATGTTAGAGCTCACTTCAATCTTTGCTTGATTAGTATAAAATTAACCCATTTGGAATGCTAATTTTCAAAATTTTTATAGAAAAATATATCGTAACGATTTGATGTATGAGAGATAAATAATAATTAGAAAATGCATTCACAAAAAATGTAAAAATTATTTGATAAAAAATTATAATCCAAACACCAATTTTAGAGGTAAAAACTCAAACTACTCGAGTTACACTCGAATTTGGTTTGATAAAAACTCCTTTGATTTTAGCACGATAGACAAACAAATAAAACTGAACAAAATTTTAAGTTCGATAAAACAATCAAATAAGTTTAAAATACGTAATATTCAATATTTTTAGACTCATCTATACCCCTAGTTTTTTTTTTTTTTTTAATTTGGTAAGATCTATACCCCTAGTTAAAAATAAATATTACATATGTGATATGTCACAACAAATGTCTAATGACTGTAAAATGCCAAAGGCTGGGGTCCATTCGGACGACGTGGCACGTGAATGCACGAATATTCGTTTCAGCTTATTTGCCGGCGAATATTCCACGTGGCATCTACGTGTAACCACATTTTTGTCTCCTACATTTTGGTGCACAGTCGAATCAAAACACCATAAATTCTAAACCCCCAAGATTCAAGATTGTTTGACTTTTTGCACCCTTCAAAGTTAATCTAACGGCTGTTACATCAAGCATATGTACTCCTTACTTCACACAATTATAGGACCTGTCTTTTCGGGCATCATGCTTCTTCAGATTCGTCGCCGATTTTTCCTCACTTTTGCTCCTAACTTTATAAATCCACCTAAAACATCAAGGTAAAATACAATTTACACCCTCAAATCAGTTTATCATCTCATTTTCCCCCCCCAAGCAATTAAATATTTCAAGCAACCCTCTTTAGCTGTATTCATTTAAATCTGATATGAGCCATATAGAATTTTAGGAACAATACATGGAATTAGGCATGGGCAAAATGGATGGAAAAGTAACATTAAGGACCATCTTACTTTTTGAATTTCATTATATAAATTAAATACACATCAATTTGATATATCTTTTGAAAAAATAGTATTGTTTGAAATTCGAATAGTTTGAGTTTAATTAAGAGGTGAATCAATTTTTTCTCAAAATATAATTTGAATTTCTTTTAATACCATTTATGATCTAGTATTCCAACTTGTGCTCACAATTTATTATTTCAACTTGCACTAGGCAAAAAAAAAAAAGAAAATGAAAAATAAGTCTAGAGGGAGTTCATGTAATTTTTAGTTGAAGCGGGGTAATATTACAAAATGTATAATTCAAAGGGGACAAAGTAATAATTTAAAACATACAACATTCATTAGTAGACACATAAATATGTTCGAGTGATACTAAATTTATATTATCTTTTAATGAACAGAAAGCAGAGTTGAAATCATTGCCAAAAGTACAACTGTTATTGTTTGAGTCTTAGGAAAGCTGCAAGCATTCTCTCTTATCCTCTGATCACTTGAATCTTTCCTCTTAGGAACTTTCTTTTCCTAAATTCTCCATAGAGCCCATCAAATTTTCAAGTTCATAGCTTTATAGAGATAAAGCTACAGTGACTTCTTCTATACACAAGTCCATTTTCTTTTCCTTGCATTTTGCTTTTTAGGTTCTGAAGTTCATCCATTCATCCATTCGTTCTCCAGTTACTTTGTTCTCTTTTGCTTTGACAAAGAATAAAGTGAACGAGACTTTGGAAAAAATGATCTAGATAAAAAGGGTTGCTTGTAGAGAAAGAATATAATCAAGGTCTTTTCAAGTTTTGGATGGTGGAGGTGGTGGGAGTGGTGCAAGGTGGTTGCAAGTGAAAAAGTGGCGGTGATGGAGAGAATGTATGGTGGAGTAGGTGGTGGTGGAGTTGGAGGGAGTTGCTATCCTTTTGAAAGGAATGGAGGTGGTGGTGGTGGCGGCCTTGGTGGGGTGGTGATGACTAGAGATCCAAAGCCAAGGCTGAGATGGACTGCTGATCTTCATGAACGTTTTGTTGATGCTGTTACAAAGCTTGGTGGCCCTGATAGTGAGTTTTTGTCATCATTACTGTTTCCATTTCTATTGCTTTGAGCCCCTTTTCTTTGTCATAATTGATTGGCTGAGCTGAGTAACATGGGGCAGCTGTACCTTTTATTTAAAAATTACTGTTTTAAGGTCATTCATTTATACGTTTTGAAAACAATTATGCCAACTTTTTATTGTTTTGTGCTGTTTGAATTTTTATAGTCAAATCATTTCCTATAGATTAAGTAGTGATGTTGGTTCTCTTGAGGGAAATTTTTTACACAGGGATAGCATTAGTTATTTAAGCTCAGTACTTGAGAAAATTAAAGATGGCAGCTATATTTTGCAATTTTGCTAGTCAGTTTCTGGTTTATTTTGGGGGCCTTACAGTTTTTCACAGTCAGCGTTTGGTATAAATTTTGCATATGAAACCTAGAAATTTCAAGTTAATAAACTGAGTATTAGAAACATCCATGTATAACACTCAGATCCTTTCCCAGCTTGTGAATTTATTTAGCCCTGATGGAAGAATGATATCTACTTTTAAAACATATTGATCAGATCCCTCCCCGGATTGTTTGTGGATTAATGTTTTCCCGGTCAACTTGGAAGAATGGTGTCTAGCCAGTTTCTGTGCAGATTGGTGTTTTCCCAGCTTAATAAGTGCATCACTGCATATTGGAATAACAGTCTAATCAACCATGCAGCATCTTCTCCTCATCTGGTGGGAGAAAGTTCATCAATTTCCTGATACAGTGAATAAAATATAACCTCGAGTTTAGGAAATCTCGGAAAATGACCCTTGAGTTTAGGAAATCTTGGCTCCCCTGGTTCTATTGTTTTTCAATGGACTTGGCATTTCCTTCTCTGCGTGTCTGACCATTGACCTAAAATGCCCTAGCTAATATGCTGGAGATCAGAAATTTACTCAATTTTTTCCCCAACATTTCCAAAAATTGTGCGCCTAGCCCTTAACACACCCTTGACCAGAATCAATCCTAGGTTTGGGCTTTCATTTTTTTTAAAAAAAAAAACTCCTTTATACGATTGATTTGTCTGTTGATAGCTGAAGCAAAGTTCATGTTATGTTGTTCTGCCCCTAAATGTGCTGTCATCTTGTCATATTAGAATTGAAAGTAGGAGCTCTAATTCTTGGTTCTGCTAGTAATTCTTCTATTCTGCTTCTCTGTTTTCTTGGATCTTTTGGATGGGGAAGTTGGGAGTTATAAGGAGTGCATACATGATGAATAACATAATACGTTCAGTAAGACACTTAAAATCTTGGCACGCCTTCAAGTAAACTCAAAGTGGATCTCAATTTGCAGAAGCAACTCCCAAGTCAGTTTTAAGGGTAATGGGCTTAAAGGGATTGACATTGTACCATCTAAAGAGTCATTTACAGGTATTGCTTCATTTCTGCACTCATGTATGATCTGTCTGATACTGGAGCCAAAGGTGATGCTTCTTGATCTTTTTACTTGTAGAAGTACAGACTTGGACAGCAGGCCAAGAAGCAGATTCCAGCTGAACAAAGCAAAGAGAACAGTGGTAAGTTCCTGCCGGTTCAGTGATCCATTAAGAAATCAAAAGTAGCAGATAATAATAAGAAAAGCTAGCATTCTGTGAATATATCAAGATATCACGGGTGGGTTATCTCTATGATGTATACAAGATATTGAAGAGGCTGACCCGTATTATGTCTGTCAAGTTACAAATTCATCTTATGAAATTGTTTTAGCTGTAAATAGGTAGGCAAATTTATACCTGAAACTTTTATATACCCATTTTTATTTGGGTTTTATTCTTAGCTTCTGAATTTCAATCTGTTTCCTGTCTTTTAGGCGATACTTTTGGACAATACAACTCGCATGCTTCAGGCTCCATTTCCTCAAGAGTGAACACAGAAAAAAGGTAGGTGCTACAACAATAATGTTGTCAACTTTGTCTTGGATTTTTAATTTCAACAAAGTGTTTGCTTATTTAGAACAGATACCAAGCCTTTGTAAGTTTTGAGTAGTTTATGCATCAATCAGTCCATCAACATTTAAATGTTATGACATGAGCCTAGCATCATCATCCAGCTGTTATACAAACTGACCAATGATGATGCACCAAACAGGGAAATCCAAATCTCAGAGGCACTAAAATGTCAGATTGAAGTGCAGAAAAGATTACAGGAGCAGCTTGAGGTTTGTATTAAATTACTTGACCTTTACTGACTTTTTTCATTGTTGTTAAAAAATTTTGCTGGTTTGACTGATTCTTTGTCCCACAGGTGCAAAAGAAATTACAGATGAGAATAGAGGCCCAAGGGAAGTACCTACAAGCAATTCTAGACAAAGCTCAAAAGAGCCTTTCGCTCGACGTTAATAATCCCTGCAATCTAGAAGCAACAAAAGCTCAACTCTCTGAATTCAATCTGGCCCTGTCAAGCTTCATTGAGAATGTAAATGCAGAAGAAAGAAATGCCGAGATTATGGATAAACGCATGCTAAGCGACATGAACAGAAAAATGTCTGAGCAGAATTACTTGGGGTTGAATCATGAAGAAACACATGATGTCAAACTTAGGCTAGAAGGAGCTTCCATAAATTTTGACTTGAATACCAGAAGTAGCTATGACTTTATTGGCACCAGTTGAGCTCTTCTGGAGCCAAACCACTTAATAGAAGTAAAAATGGGCACAGCCTTTCAGTTCGTTTTCATACTCTGTGCATATAACACTCTACAGTTGGATTAACTTATTCTTCAATGCCTCATTGTTTTTCACTCAAGGCATCAGTAGTAGTAAACTTGTTGAAGTGAAGAGACATAATCGTTTGAATTCAGGTGAATCTTCGTGAAGAAAAATTTGGTGGAAGGCTGGAAATTCAGTACATGCTTTCAAGAATCTTCAGCTCTGATTACTTCATCCGGACTTTCTGGTTAATCCTTCTTTCGGTTTCAAAATGCCTATGAGCTTGCTTCAAGATGTCCAAGTATCATTCAAAATCTATTAGCTGCCTCTGTACAGAGAATGCTTGGCTTCTCTAGTGCATTAATTGTTTTGCATGATGCTTTGTGAATCATATGTCTAGAAGGAGAAAACAATCACTAGTATGTCTAGTAGTACAGGAAAATCAATTCAAACGTTTAGAGAGTCTTTTATTTACCTCAATAATTTTGACTGATTAATTAACAATTTTGACTTTTGACAGGAAACATTACTTTTTTTTTTTGTTCACAATATTTAACTCCCTTAAACTTACCTTAATATCAATTTATTCCTTAACTTTCTTTGGAGACACTTAAAAATTTATTAAACTTGAGATTATACTTTTTTAAAGCAAGTGTAGTTTTACTGCATTGCTTTAGTAATACAGGTCATGGAGTTTGTAAACTAATATTCTGAAAAAAAAAAAAAACAGTTTCTGCACAAACCAACTGAAGAATTTTACTTGTTTTTTCACGTAGATTAGTTCCAAAGAACATACAATTATTTTTTTTTTATAAGATTACAACTAACCACAATCATGGGATTATATTGCAACTCAATAATATTATAAAGTTATCCACAAAACCACGGATCAAATTACAAAATCAATACCTAAAAAATTACAACCTGTCAACATTAAAAACCGATGGATGAGTACTAACATGAAAGATCATTTTGCACACAAATTTGCAAAGCAAATGGTTTTCCTGACAGAAATTTCTTTGATGAGAAATTTGTCTAGATATAACGTTTGAGGTTAGCTTCCATGCGGGTGTATTGCACTTGTGGCTACAGCTTCCAAATCTCTTCACCATTTTCCTGTATTTCAAAGTTTGTCAAAGATCCCTCGTGCAAAACCCGGCCGCAATGTGTTAATCCAACTTTGGAGAGCATGGTCCACACCTGCAGACCAAAGATATTGAAATGTTACTAGTCTGTCATAAGAATTTGAAATCAGGATGCATAGGTGCAATTTCCATCTTGTTATTTGGTAAAGAAGGGTAGGCTAGGGATCCGAGGCCTCACAAGTTCTATTCCACTTAATTACACTAAAAGACAGACTTCTAAGGTCCATCCCAAGTAGACTTGTAGCTAAGATCCTACGAGAGCTATAAATGTATACCATGCATAAACATCCAACTTTTTCTTTTTTGGGAATTTATATATTTATTTGCCAGGTAAACATAATAATGTGTTTGAAATGTAGGTTCAAGCATGGTCAATCTTTACTTGTAAAATGGTGTTATATCAGCCCAAATGAATAAAATTGTACCATTTTGACCCAAAAAAAAGGATAAAATTGCACCAATCTGGCTTTTACGAAACAGGGCTCACACCTGTTACTTTGGGTTTTGCAGCCCCAACTCACTTCTTTTTGTCCTTTTCTTTGCTTTTCTTTTCTTTATGAAAACCAACACATATATACATATACATACATACATATATATGAAATTTAGGCTAGACTCATTTTTAGATTGGGATATGTAGTTAGGCCGAAATTCATCTTGATCTGGAATTACTGAGGTTTGGCCCTTTTCTTAGGATAGAATGGTCTGAGTTCAAACTAATCTGACACTATTAACAGTCCTAATGCGATTTTTGATAAAATCTTAGAAAAGTCGCACATGTTTTGCTAAAGGTAAAATGTGCAGGGTCATCCTCTCCCTGCCATTTTCACCATGTAATATGATCTAAAATCTTTCCAGAACTAAAACAACATATATTGTGACTCCATATTGTGCATGGTCTCTCACATATTGTGACTCCATTAACTTACCTTTCAGGTGAGCTAGGAAGTCTTCTGCTGCGATGCTGAATTTCTCCAGCTTCCTACCTAAAAGTTTTTTCCCACTTTTCAATCAACTTGACATGAGAAAGCATATTTTCTGGTGCTTGAAGATACGCTGTCTTGTTCAATGTTCGGGGATCATCCACTTTCTTAATAGTATAAGTTGCTGTATCATCTTCATTCATGAAAGGAATTGCAATCATGAACTTCAAACAAATCTATTATTCTATTAAAAGTATGATGAGTTTTGGCATTGTAAATTGTAATCACCTTTTGATCTTAGTTTATGTTGTGTCCATATTATCTCCTATTTTTTAATTAGAGATATTGCATTTTAATTGTGGTATTAATTAAAAATATGAAATATTCCAAATGATTAAATCTCAATAATAATGGCAATTAAAATGAAAAACTCTCTATTAAAACTATTTAATGATCATTACACTCCATCTCCAATTCTTATACGCATCAAAGCTTTTTACCTGAAGCAATTTCTTACTCGAAATAGTGTGAACAATTGAATAATCCATAATTTTAAGATTGTAAAAAATATTATTAAAAAAAAATAGATGCTCCTAGAATAAAAGAGAATTATATAAGAAGAAAAGAGTCTACATTCATTTGGAGAGTCTTGATATGAATATCACGAGACAGATGTATAATTATGTGCTTCTATCAGCATGAAGAAATACTAGCAAAAAAGCAAAAATAAAAGAAACCAACTATTTCTATCAATTGAATGTCAATTGACAACCAAATAGCCAATCTAAGATAATTAAGCAATATGAATCATTTATATTTTTTCCTAACCTCAACAACAGTTGGAAAAAATGTAAATAATCCAAATTCAAAAATGCACCTCACATTACTCAATTCAAATTCACACAAAATTGAAAATTATAATTGCAAAAATATAAGTTAGAATAATTAAATGGTCATGCGAAGTTGGATAATAGCAAGGTTTATAAATTTTTTCTTAAATAATTAATTCATTCTAATTGTGCAATTGCATTGTGTTTGTCTTAGTAGGGAAAAAATAACATTCAAAATGTTGATACAAATTTTTTTCATTTGTTAAAATTTTTTGATTTCATCAAAAACTTAACCATGCATTTTATTTTTAAGTTAAAAAAAGGCACATCTAGATTGTAGTTGGTAAACGAGCTTTCCAAGAGGTAAAGGAAGGTCTGACTGTGGTGAAAATAATTAGAATAACAAAATCTAACAAGCCAATTTATTTACTCTAATACTTCTCCAGAAATTGATTTTATTGTTTAAGTCTTTATTTGCTAATAATTATGAATTCTATTTACTAGGCTCACACTTGATATGTGTACATGTATTTCCTGTTTAATAACATCTTTTGTACAATATTAAAAAACAATATTATGATTTAATGGTAAAATATTGTGAGTATACAATAACTTTGGTGAAACATAACCGTATTAAGAATTGTTTATCAAAGCTGAATCCATAATCTACCAAAAAAGCTCAAAATAAATTCAAAAGAAAGAAAGCTCAAAATAAATTAAAAAATTAATAGATCAAAGGGTTCGTATTTAGACAGTATTTATAACAACAATTGATTAAAAAAATTGAAAATATAAAATATTCTATTATCAGTAAACAATCAAATTTCACAAAGAAAAATTATATCTAAGAGATATTATATTTAGATTAATATAATCATGTGCAAATTACGTGAACTAGGATTGTCAATGAGGTTGGGCCAGCCCGAGCTCAACTCGTTCGGCCCGACAAAAAGTTCAATGAGCCCGATCTTTTAGTGAACTGGTCTGAGATTGAACCTAAAAATTAGGGCCGAATTAAATATGAGCCGAGCTTAGACCTCATTAGACTCAAACCCGATATAGGCCCGACTCTTTAATTACCTATATATATAATATTTATATTTTGATATTATGTATAATTATATATCCAAATATATTATTACTAAATACTAAATATATATATATATATTACAAATACAAAAATACATTTGAAGACTCTTCCATGAGCTTTCTTGAGAGCCAATATTAGTAATGCATAACTAAATCTCTAACTTTTCTTATTGGTTGAGTAAATTTTTGTATTGGCATAATATTGGTTGATTTCTTTTTGGTCTAGAAACACAAATCATATAAAAAAAAAGTTTCAACTTTTAAGATGTATTGGCTTATGATCGCATGTTTTATTACTATTTTTCATGCATTTTGAATGAATTAAATATAAATATTGTTGAAAAATTTTTGGTTTATATATTTTTTAAGAACTATTATTTATTCATGTTTAGTTTTAATATTATAGTCTTGTAAATGTTAAATTAGTTTTACAAGTTAATAGTTATAGTAATGGGAAAATCATTCAAAACATCCATCATATTTTACAAGATGATTTTTTTCGTCTCTCACTTTTAAAAATGTAATTTTACGTCCCTTACAAATTCGCATTAATTAAATTTGGTCCCTACTTAGGTTTCCGATTAGTTTTTGGTCGGAATTCACCACGTGCCTTGCATGTGATTATATTTTAAGGGCAAAATTGTCCAATCAAATTTGATATAATTCGATTCATAATCCCTCACATTTCATAAAATAAATTTTTTCGTCCTTTACATTTCACAAAATGAATTTTTTTCATTCTTCACATTTTTTAAAATGAATTTTTTCATCTTTTATTGATCATGTGTGTAAATAATTTTTTTTTAAATCCATGTATATATTTATTTGATTTCACCTAAATAGTACGGATATCATGTAAAATCAAATAAAGATATATTACATACTATTTGTACTGTTCAAGTGAAATCAAATAGATATATACATGAGTTTAAAAAATTGTTAGTCTTTCACTTATATTCATTTTCTTTTACTCAAAATTTGAAAATAAAGAAGACATTTAATCCTAAATATTATTGAGTGTTTATATTGAATTAAATTTGGACAAAAAAAACAAAAGAAAAGTATGACAAAAAGAAATAAGTAATTGGCACTTTCAAATTTTAAAACAATCACAAAGGCAAGTAATTCAACTGTTGGTTTTAAAAGTGTCGAGTAGAAATTCAGATTTAAATTGAAATTTGTTAGCACAATTATAGAATTCAAGTTAGGACCCATTAATTAGATGACCTTATCATACAACTCAATAAATAAATTATTACCAAAAGAGAAGGTCACAAATATTGAATAGGTTCAAATGGTGAAATCATATAAATATATACATGGGCTTCAAACAAAATTATTAGCTTAAAACCCCTATATATATATATATATATATATATATATATATATATTGAATAGCATGTGTATAACTACGATTAACATGTTTAGATGAAATCCAATAGAGATAAATTACATGTTATTCGCACTGTTCAGGTAAAATCAAATACACATATACG